AGGAGCGAAAGAACAGGATCCTGTCCTTTTCCGTGCCCCGTGGTGCCTGGCGCACCATGAGTACAAGCCAACGGCAGCTGTCAGTTTCATCCTCCTGCTTCATCACACAAGCCCCTGACCAAGAATCTGATTGCCCATCACCTCTTGGGCTAAATTACACTCCACTTTTATTCAGCTGCCGACTGAGAGCAAATTGGAGACATAGTGGAAGAGGTGAAAAACACAGTTGTGTGGACTGGACACAGAGCAGAGGGCACGTCTTCCAGCTCCACCTTGGCCTTAGGTCCATTTTCTCACTGAGTCCTAGCTTCAGTCTGTGACCTGTGACCTTGGTTTTAATGATGCCCAATTTACAGACAAGAAGCTTGAGGCTCAGGGAACAATAGGCAGTAGTGGGGCTAAAGTCTGACTCCAGGTGAAGGAACATTAAAGCCATTGTTCCCTCAGCGCCTCCCAAGCGCCCTCAAGAGACAGCTTGAGAGTCAGCCGCTGAGGCTTCTGGGAGGCCATGGGCCAGGCAGAGGCCAGCGCGGAGCCAAATTCCCAGAGATGAGAGAGGTATGAAGACACTTCTAAAAGTCTGCAGCAAAATGGAATTCAAACATGGCTGACTTTGGCCCAACAATTTGGAAATCCACATGTATGCAGAGTCTTCAACATGGTCATGGAGTTACAAAACAAGTGATGATGAAGTCTGACATTTTTTGCATGCAAAGGAACTTATTTTTTCATTCACTTTCCCCTGCACACTTTTGGAAGTCCCTGATGCTGTGTGAGCTGCCGGAGCACACGGCGCATGTGAGGAGAGCAAGGACTGTGGTATCCCAAGGCTGCGCCTTTCTGATGGAAGACGGGAAGGTAGGATTTGAGCTTCTGCAGAGGGATTTTGCACATCTGATGAACCTGAGCTTAGAGCTACGCCCAGGGAGAATCCAGGACAGAGAAAGCGGTGGTCTGGATGGGAACAGCCCTCTGAGAAGGATGTCCAAAGGCCACAGGCCATGGGGAGCCTGCTGGCACCTCCCACCAATCAGAGCCATCTCCCTCCTCTAGGGCAGGCCAGAGGAGGCTTGCTCTGTAGCCACCAATCCCAGGAACCCGTGACCATGCAGTCCTGAGTACGGTAGCCCCAGGGACCTTCTGGGGAGCCATGGGAGTGGTGCCATGGCCATAGGAGCACACATAAGAATGTCAGAATGGCCATGACGCTCACTTTACATTTTGTGAAGACTCAAAGCTTCCTTCTTGCCCTGCAGACAAGTGCGTCCCCCACCCCACACACACACACCTAGAAGGTGCTTGCTGACCAGCTACCTCCCTGGCTTTTGCATCTCAAAAGCTCAGCTGAACTTGGGTGATTTTGCTGCAGGGAAAGAGAGAGGCCAAGTGACTCCGTGTGCAATGAGACTGAGGGGAGATTGCCCAAGACCCAGAAGGGGACAGAGGCTGGCATTGTCCATTGGAAGCAGCCGAGTGTCACCTTTAACCTGGGGAGGCCAGCGGGCAGGCAGCGTACCTACAAAGGACCACACAGGAGAGACCAGGAGGAAAGCAGGCTGGCCTGAAGACCCATTTCCGGTGGAAGATTCCCAGTGTTCTGCCCCCTGCCCCTCATCTCTCAAGAACAACTTTCCCTCAGCAAGTATATGGACTCAGGATCAGATTTAATTAGATTTAATGTGACATTTCCTGTATAGGTAGGTTTATAGAGCAGATCAGACCCCAGAACATTATTGATTGGACATCATCACAATGCTGAGGTCTTCATTAGGGATGGTCCTTGGATTCTTATGTAGGTATTTGAGAGGCAGAGAGACAGATATACAGAGACAGCTCCCACCAGAGTGCGGGCTCACTCTCCAAATGCCCATGACAGCAGCAGCCAGGAATGGGGGGGCAGGGAGCTGAAGCTGGGAGCTGAGAACGCAATCCAGGTCTCCCACGTGAGCAGGGAAACCCACTCACTTGAGCCATCACTGCTGCCTCCTTAGCAGGAAAGTGGAGTCAAGAGTTGGTCCCAGGTATTACTCCTATGTTAGCTGCAGATTTCTTTTTTTTAAATATTTATTTATTTGAAAGAATTACACAGAGAGAAGGAGAGGCAGAGAGAGAGGTCTTCCATCCACTAGTTCACTCCCCAATTGGCTGCAACAGCCGGAGCCGCATCGATCCGAAGCCAGGAGCTTCTTCCGGGTCTCCCACGCAGGTGCAGGGACCCAAGGACTTGGGCCATCTTCTACTGCTTTCCCAGGCCATAGCAGGGAGCTGGATCAGAAGTGGAGCAGCCAGGTCTTCAATCGGCGCCCTTATGGGATGCTGGCACTGCAGGTGGCGGCTTTTCCCACTATGCCACGGTGTTGGTCCCAGCTGCAGGTTTCTTTACCTCAGGCTGAACACCTGCCTCTAGAAAGAGCCCTTAACTCATGAAAGTGCACGCTAAAGGCAACTGCCCCTGAGACACGAAGCAACCCCCCTGCCTGGACTGCAGGACGCGCGCTGGCCTTTTGGGGGGCAGGGCCATCTCCCCACGTCTCTGGGGCTCTGGGGTCTTGCCCTGCTTCTGTGTGGTCCCATGCTCTAGTCTTCTCTTAGTGTCTGCAGCTTTTCCCGTCCTGCTCCCCCAGGACTTCAGCCGCTGGAGATTTTTGAGTGCAGGGCTTAGGTCTGCACCAGCTCCGCAGCACTTCCCAGGGAGGCAGGGGAGTGAAGTGACCAAGGCCTCAGTCACAGCCCACCAAGGGAGCGCTGTTCCTGCAGGTGCCGATGGAGTGACATTTACAGCCAAAGTGCAGCCATGGGGGCAACTTCACGTCCTCGTCCATGTCCATGGTCTTCCTTCCTGCCACCAATCACACGCCATGACCCCTATTCTTGGTGAAAGAGGCATGCTGAAGACTTCAGACCCATACTAATGGCAGATAAGTCCGGAGGAGCTCCGCGGAGGTCCTTCACAGTACACAGCACCCAGTCAGCCTCACTTCTTGAATTCTTATCTGTTGTGTCAGTTCCAAGAAACAGGTCATTTCAGTATCCGTGGAATTTCCGACAGGAGTTTCAGTCCTCGGTGGATGGTACTTTTTTTTGTTTGTTTGTTTAATTTATTTGACAGATAGAGTTAGATAGTGAGAGAGAGAGAGACAGAGAGAAAGGTCTTCCTTCCGTTGTTTCACCTCCCCAAATGGCTGCTATGGCCGCAGCTACGCTGATCCGAAGCCAGGAGCCAGGTGCTTCCTCCTGGTCTCCCGTGTGGGTGCAGAGCCCAAACACTTGGGCCATCCTCCACTGCCTTCCCCGGCCACAGTAGAGAGCTGGACTGGAAAAGGAGCAACCGGGACTAGAACCCGGTGCCCACATGGGATGCTGGCGCTGCAGGCGGAGGATTAACCAAGTGAGCCACGGCGCCAGCCCCCCGTGGATGGTACTTAACATGAACAGCACAAGACTGCTTCTTCTCCAGGGATCTTACAAGGATGCTCAGTGTATATGTCCTGAAAAATACTTTGACTTTGGTTCCATTTCTTTTTTCTTGGAGAATTGGTATGCATCACAGCCAGCTGCAAGCTGTAACCTGACAAACAGAGCCTTTCCTTGAAACTCAGCTTCTGCACCTGGAGAATGGAGCTCCTGATAGAGTGGACTTTCTGGGGTCAACGTGAGTGAGAATGAGAAGAGGTGGTCACCAATATCATGGCCATTTCTTACACCTTTTGATTTCTCCAGGGTCCTGATCTCTTGGTTTAAATTCCCCGAAGGATTCATCTGACTGGCTACGGAATATGTTGCTCCAAGGTCAAGAGCCTTCCAGAATCAGTGGGCCAGAGGAGATGGGTCACATGAAACAAACATGGCTGGACAGGTCCATCGTGTAGCCGATGCAGAGGGTGGTGGCCAAGCAGCTGGGACAAGGGTGTGTGTGGTGACCATTGTGTCTGGAGCCAACAATAAGAGGATTCTAGAATCACAGAGGTTCCGGTGGATGTCATGCTGTCCAGTCACTTGAATTTCACATGTTGAGAAATTGAGGCTCTGAGACACACGGCAACATAACGAAGTGAATTGGAGGCCACCTTGTGAGCTATTCCAAGGGGCAGGAGGCCTGTGGGGCACAGATGGGTGCCTGTCACTGACCCTCCTCCTCCCCGCCTTCCAGGCTGTCCCTCAGAGCCTGGGAGTTCAGTGGTGTCACAGCCTCACCCGGCCCACATCCTGGAATCCCAGCTGCAGGAAGTGCTCGGCTCCCTGGCCATCTGCCACCCAGCCCCAGCCACCTGCACAAGCAGGTCCCACCCTCCCCTTCCAGCTAAGCAGGTCTGGTGGCCACATGAATTCCTCCCTCTGTACCTTTGCTCAGGCAGTCCCCTTGACCTGGGATGCCCTTCCCCCTCCTCCCTGCCCATCTGAGCCCCACGGAGCTCCTCTGGGAGGTCTCCCCCTGCCCCTCCCCCAGGCCCACTCCCTCCTGCTGGGCTTAGGAGACTGCTTGCTGCCCCCTGCATGGGCTACACAACTCCACTGTGCCTACAGATTTTAATCCTCTTACAAGTTCTCTTTGGAGGTTAGAAACCTTGCCTTATACATTTTTGCAACAACAAAGCACACAAGTGGCGCTGGGCACTTAGGAGGTAGCTGTTAGCTGGGGCCCCTCCTGCTCTCGGTAGGACCAGCAGGAGGCTTCCTGCCGCACCCCCCACCCCACCCCCCCGCCAGGATTTCCCAGGGGAAGGCGGTGCAGGCCCTGGTTGCATGCCTAACAACAGCCCGTTCCAGGGGCTTATGGGAATGGTCAGGCTGGAAGCAAGCTCCACAGTCAACTGTCACTCCTTACAGCTCACAAGGACGCTGCTGTCACTCTCACCCACGAGGAGACCGAGGCCCAGAGGTCTGAGTGGTTTGCCGGGGGTCACGGGCAACGCACATTGGGCTGGAGAATGGACTAGGCTTCCACTGACTCCACAGCTCTTGCTCCCACCTGGCCAGGTGCTGGCTGGCTTTGGGATGCAAATGAACAGGACAAACCCTGACTTCCAGTGTAGCACCTGGCCCTAGGGCCCTGAGGCGGGGTGGCGGGGGGTGGCTGCAGGCCAGCCCTGAAGAGATCATTGACACCCGTGTGCGTGTATGGGGGGAGGTCGGGGGTCCCAAACACCCACCAGGACAGAGGTTGCACCCAGAGCTGTGGGATCCTACAGGAGAGACCCCAAAGCAAAAGGAAGCGAGCGACTCTGTCTAGCAGAACGTCTGTGGTCCCTCGGCCTTGGCGACGTCCCAGTCAGGGAGGCAAGACGAGGACCCTTGAAGCTGATTTGCAGGATGGCAAATGAAGGGTCAGGGAGGCAGGTGACTGTTCCAAGGTCGCCGGGGGGCAGCCTGCTTTCCCAGCCTCCTCTCTGCTTCGCCACCCATCTCTCCAGTGGCCTCCAAGACAAACCAATCCAAACGGTCAGCTCTCAGTTCCCAGACACACCTTTCTTTGTCTGGCTGCCCAGCCTTTGCCCAGGCCACCCCCTCTGCCCGAATGTGTTTCCCACACCCCACACTCGCCAGGCCCAGCACAACTCTCCCCTCCCAACACCTCCCCAGCTCGCCCCGAGTCTGAACAAACCCCTCCGCCTACTCCTGAGAGGCACCCTGATAGCAGGTGCTGATTTAATATCTTTCCAACTAGGAAGACCCAGCCCTGGCACATCACCAAACCACGGGCAATGCTCTCTGCAATGAGACGGTGCTTAGCAAACGCTGGAAGGACGGAGTGAATGAACGCAGCTCTTGCCTGCTCTCCGAACAGCTGAGAGGATTTGATTCTGTGAGGTCACCTGCACAGGTGCCAGGCCGGGGCAGGTGGCTGTCACGTGCTCGCTGGGGCGAGCAGCTCAGAAGCCACGCCCGGCCAGCAGAGCCGGGTTTCCCGAGCAGGCCGCATGCCAGCAGAAAGGCCCCAGCAGGCCTGGCGCCAGGGAGCTGCTGCCTAGCGACCTCCAGCCAACAGCAAATCTGCGGCTCCTCCCGCCCACCCACTGGCTACCCTTCCCCGGGTCTCCTGGGCCTGCAATGTGGGGAAGGAAGAAGGAAGGAAAATCAGGTTCAACCTGATGGCAACGCCATTCCCCAAAGCAGTGCTCCTGGAGCCCTGGCACTGGGGTCAGGAGGCGTGGCGTCAGCAGCCCAGGAGGTCCGGTGGATGAGGGCAAAGGCCCTGGCATCTGCTGGGGCTGGGGCTGGGTTCAAATCCTGGCCTTGTGAGTACCAGCTGTTATGAGAAGGATGTCTCCCTCTCACCACGCCCAGATTCCCCAGAGAGGAATAACATGGAATCAAAGTAGACAGCCGGAGCTGAGCTGTGGCAAGTTCTTACCCTTGTGTAGCAGAACGAGGGGAAAAATTGACAGTGAACATGGACAAAGGTACTTCACAAAGCTTGTGACACAGAAACAGGGAGAAACAGAGAGATCGGGGCTGGCGCTGTGGTGTAGCAGGTAAAGCCGCTGCCTGCAGTGCTGGCATCTCATATGGGTGCCCATTCGAGTCCCGGCTGCACCACTTCTGATCCAGCTCTCTGCTATGGCCTGGGAAAGCAGAAGATGACCCAAGTTCTTGGGGCCCTGCACCCACATGGGAGACCCAGAAGAAGCTCCTGGTTCCTGGCTTCGGATCAGCGCAGCTCCAGCCACGCAGCTCCGGCCATTGCAGCCGATTGGGGGGTGAACCAGCAGACAGAAGACCTCTCTCTCTCTCTCTCTCTCTCTCTCTGCGCCTCTCTTTCTCTCTCTGTGTAACTCCGACTTTCAAATAAATAAATACATCTTTAAGAGAGAGAGAGAAAGATCTTCCATCTGCTGGCTCACTCCCCAAATGGCTACAACAGCCAAGACTGGGGCAAGCTGAAGCCAGGACCCAGGAACTCCATCCGGGTCTCACACGGGTGGCAGGGGCCAAGCACTCAGGCTATTTTCTGCTGCTGACCCACGTGCCTTAGCAGGAAGCTGGATAGGAAGCACAGAGCAGCAAGGATTCAAACTAACACCTTGCATCGCAAGATGCAGTTCAACTTGCTGCGCCACAGTGTGGGTCCCAAAAGAAACCATCTTTTAACTCCATTATTGCACAAAGCAAACATTTTGAAATCCCTGACACATGCATCTCATTCTCATTGTTCTCCCACCCCCGCCAGGAGGAGATGACTTCCTTTGTCCATTTCTGTTTTCTTATTCAATTGTAATCCTTTACTGACACAGTAGGTGCACCTGTTCGTGGGGGTACCGTGTGATGGGTCGGTACTGGTATACATAAGATAAGGAACAGAGCAGGGCAGCGAGCAGACCCATCGCTGTGTCCCTCTGGCATCTCCTGGTGGGGACAGCGTTCGGATTCCTCTTCAAGCTGCTCTGGAAAACGCAAGGCCTCGCCATCAGCTGTTGCTCTGACTGCAGTGTGACAGTTCCAGGCCTTCGTGCCTGCCCTTCGGTCTGCCTGGGTTCCTCCCCCATCGGCTCCCACCCCACCCACAAGGCTCACTCCCTGAATAGTCCAAGTGCTTCCCTTTCCCTGCCCTCCTGCCTCCTCCTCCAGCCTCACCTGTCCTCACTGGGCTGTCCCTGACCCTGCAAGGAGTCTTGGGCTTTTCCCACCTTCTTCTTACACTGGCTTAGGGGCCTCTGTTCTCTCGGCGCCACCTGGTTGGGATTTGCGTGCTTCAGCGATCCCGGATCACAGAGGAGAGACAGGAAAGCTCTGTGCTTGTTTGCCTTTCGGTTCCCGATGTGCTGCTTGGAGAAGTCCAAGCACTGGATTCTGCAGACGGCCGAGGCCCTGGTGGTGTTGGCACGAGACAGGAGGGCCCAGGGAGGCTGAAGACCCTCTGGCCTTAGGAAGGACGGGGCCAGCACTGAGACCCTGGGCCGGTTCAGAAGAAAGCCTGGACACTAAATGGATGGACTGTAGGCCAAGAGTGTGGGCTGGAGGCGTCACTTCCGGTCTCAGCTGGAAACAGCAAAACCAAGAGCTGAGTGTTTGGCCTGACTCCCTGTCCAGCACCCTCTGAGCTGGGCCAGAAGGGCTCTGGGCCTGCGCGCTGCCTTGCCAAGGCCTCTGCTCGGACTCTACCCTGTGCCAGGAATGAGGAGTCTCGGGGAGCATGGGGTGTGTCCATCCGGACCCACACACCTCCCTCCAGGGTACAGACCAGGTCCCCAGGCCCCAGCTGCATGGTCTCAGTGGCCAGTGCCACTTCCGAGGCCTTTGGAACCCTCTCCCCTGTCACATGCCCCCTAGTATGGACAACAGGGCTGGTGAGTGCACCCCTGGACCCCAGGGCTAGCCACAGGGACTGCTGTTTGGAGTAGAGTTAGGATGTGTGGTCTGGGAGCCCACACATCTGCCGGGAGCCCCTCACAGGGCAAGGGAATGTGGAGAATGGGGAAGGAGCCGCCACACGCCATCACCGTGATTCTCACAGCACTCCTCTGACCCTTCGGGTCACTCAGCAGCTCTGACGTCATACTAGGAGATGGGACTTACTTCCTCTGGGGCCTGCACTGCAGTGCAGCAGGTAACGTCGCTGCCCGTGATGCCAGCATCCCATATTGGAGCAGGAATTCACATCCTGGTGGCTCCACTTCTGATCCAGCCTCCTGCTAATGCGCCTAGGAAAGCAATGAAAAATGGCCCAAGTGCTCGGGTCCCATCACCTCGGTGGGAGACCCGGATGGAGTTCCTGGTTCAGCACCAGTTGTTGCAACCTTTTGAGGAGTGAACCAGTGAATGGAAGATCCCCCCCACCACACACTCTGTAACTGCCTTTCAGAAACAAATAAATCCAGGCTGGCGCCCCAGCTCACTAGGCTAATCCTCCGCCTGCGGCACCTTCACCCCGGGTTCTAGTTCCGGTTGGGGCACCAGATTCTGTCCCGGTTGCTCCTCTTCCAGTCCAGCTCTCTGCTGTGGCCCGGGAAGGCAGTGGAGGATGGCCCAAGTGCTTGGGCCCTGCACCCCATGGGAGACCAGGAGGAAGCACCTGGTTCCTGGCTTCAGATCAGCGTGGTGTGCCGGCCGTAGCGGCCATTTAGGGGGGTGAACCAACGGAAGGAAGACCTTTCTCTCTGTCTCTCTCTCACTGGCTAACTCTGCCTGTCAAATAATAATAATAATAATAAATAAATCCTATCTCAACCAACAGTATGTTAGTGTGTTTTAAAACGTAAAATACTTGAAAACATGCCCTGACCCTGCCCAGGAGACGCTACTGCCTGAGACCCCCTGCAGTGGAGCCTGGGGGGATGAGCGGAGACCCCCGGAGACTTCAGAGAGAAGGGGCTTGGGAGGACAGAATGAGCGCTGGGGTTTCACAACTTGGATCTGGAGATGACCCCCCCCCCAATCACTTTTTCAGCTGAGGAGGTACAGACCTACAGGAGTCTGGCCAAAGCCCCACAGGTCAGGAATATATGATCCAAGGGTTCTGACCCCAGATGCTGAGCTGGGTTTGGAAACAGCCTAAGGACATGGGCAGAGACGTTGCTGGCTCTCTTGGGTGGTCCTTTCTGCACCTGCCGGGCACCCACCTGACGGCTTTACTCCACCAGCCTGGGTGTGCAGGAGCTACGTGCTTCTCCAGCTGGCTGCTATAGTTCCAACCTCCACTGTTGACTTCTCAGGAAGGAGCTTGGTTTAGCAGCAGTGGGGCGGGACGATGCCGGAAATATTGGGATGCGGTTCCCCAAGAAGCCAGGCTTCGCACTATCTCTCCCAGGAAGCCCCAAGCCTTTGCTAAGATGATGTCCTGTGAAAGGGAGACCCTCACTCTCCATGGGCATCTGTTGGATTGTTTCCATGGAAACAATCTGAGCAAGAGGGCCCTATCAGACCTCACCCCTCCTCCATCTGGACCTCAGAGATGCTGGGCCCGTCTGCCAATCAGCTCATCCCTTCCCTTTCCCCCTCCCCAGGTCAGGGCCCCACTTATAGCTCCCCACGCAACCGCCGCACTCCTCACTCAGCCAGCTCTTTCTCACTCTGGAGTCAGCTCAGTCCCTGGCTCCCCTCCTCCCTCCCACTCGCCCTAGGCTGTAGCATCTCTGCTTTCTCTGTGACCCCTTTTTCTCCCAACAGGGCCACTGAGCTTCTTCCCATACAAGCACTCTGTAGGCTGTGGGCCAACTGCTACCTGTCGGTCTCCTGGAGTAATCGAGAGCAGCTTGGGCTGGGGAATTGAACTTGACCCACCTCTCTGTCCTAGGTGCAGCTGATTATAGAAAGGAAGAGGGAGAGAGAGAGATCTTCCAAATGCCTACAACATCCAGGGCTGAGCCAGGCTGAAGCCAGGATCCAGCAGCTTCTTCTGGGTCTCCCACTGAGTGCAGAGGCTCAAGTACTGGGGCCATCCTCCACTGCTTTCTCAGGTGCATTAACAGGGAGCTGGATCAGAAGTGGAGCAGCTGGGACTCAAAACTCGCTCCCATATGCGATGCCGGCATCACAGGTGGCAGCTTAATCCACTACTGCACAGTGCCACAGTGCCAGCCAAGGTCGCCTCTCTTGAAGGCTATCCTCTAAGCATGACCTAACTGGTTATTTACAAGCCCAAGGAGGTCATGGGGCTGTTGAGAAGCACTGGACCAGGGTCTCTGGGGGTTTCTGCCAGGACCCCATGCCCTGCCCCTGGGACTGGGTGTCTGCCCAGCTGTCCTGATCCTTCCCCTGCTTGGGTGGGGACAGGGGAGCCACAGCGGCACTTGCTCCAGGGTGACCCACCAAAGTTCAAGTTAGCACTGAGTCTTCCTTTCAGTAATTGGCAGACCTTGCCCTGGGGCAAGGAGGAAGAAGGAACCGGGAGAGCATATTGAGGAGCAGGGAGCCTAGCCTGGGGCCTGGCAGAGGCCCAGGCCAAGGACAGTTCCAGAAGGGAGCCGGGGCACCAGCAGGCAGCACTGGGGTAGAGGGGAGAGGTGGGTTGCAAAACCCTCCTATGTTGCAGCCTCACTGCTGAGTCATACCAGGGAGGCCTGATGGGGACAAAGTCAGGGCCACGAGCTCCCAACTGCCTGGTTACTGCTGACTCTGTTAACTTGCTGGCATTCCTCATCCGCCTCCATGAGGCACCCCTATTGTTCTGACTTGCCCAGCGTACAGCACTTTCTTTGAATGACAGTACCTCTGTTTACTTGGAGGTCCCCATCCCTACCCTTAGCCCATTCAGGTGAAGGTGGAGTACCCCACCCCCCAGCACCACGAATGATCAAGTGGCAGAGGCTCAGCCAATCAGACATTCTCTCCTGTCTGTGATTGGCTCCAGGATGGGAACAAGCTAGAAACCTGATAGGCTAGACTCAGTTCCAAGACCTTTGGCAGAAGTGTTGGGAAAGAGGGCCTGTCTCTTCCCTGAAGGGTTGCTAACTGTGGAGCAGAGGGGGCTCCCATGTGTACAGTGAAGTCCTGAGAATGCGGCCATCCCACAGGAAATCGAGACCGACAGTAGGGGTAAGGCAGAGACCCAGTCTTCTAGTCGTGCGCCCCTGAACTTGTCAGCGGCATGAGCTAGCATTTTCTTTACTTAAGCATGCTTTAAAGCTGGGTCTCTGTCATTAGCAAACAAGAGCTGTCCAGCCAGCACTACCTGGATGATACCTGAACTTACACTACTTTACCTGTGCCCTCATTCTTTGCACCGAATTTGAGACTTATCACCCACCGTGATCTCTCCTGTCTTGGATCACTCCAGCAGGACACGGATTTATAATGGCAAGAGGCTAACAGTAGAGCTAACATTCAGCTGCCGTGTGTGTCATGGGAAAGGCGATAGTCACTCTGAGTGACGTCCTGACTGCAGGTGTCAAGGAGGCAAGGCCCCCCAGCTAGGATTCAAACTCAGACTGTCTGACTCCAAAGTGCGTGCTCTTTGCCCGCAGCCCGGTGCCTCACCCTGCTATATTTAACTCTAGGAACGGCCACCAGCAATGCCTCATCGTGTTCCTCCCACAGCAAGAGCAGAGTTCTGAGGCAGAGACACTTTGGACCCATGCGTGTCCACATTCCACCAAATAGCGTGAAATTCATGGACACATTTTAGGGGCATGAACTTTGGCCCATCATTTTCCTTCTGCCCTCAGCTTCTTCCCCCCTGACCTCCATCTCCATACCCAGCCTTAGCTTGGCCACCAGCATCTCCTAGGCCAGGCTTGGCTCCCATGCCCTTCAATGAGCAGTCCCTGTGGTCCAGGGATGTGCCATCTGATGGGGTGGTCTTGGGCCACAGGCTCTGTCCTGCCTCTTGATCAGTCCCATCCGAACCAGATGAGTGGGAATGGGGGAAGATGATTCCCCAGAGGCAAGTGCAGGTGCCGGTACCAGAAAAGACAGCCACGCATGGGCCCCTTGTCTAAGACCTCACCCCCTCCAAGCCACAGTTGTGTATTCAGCTTCCAAGTATGCCAAGTTCGGGGCTAAGCTCTGGAAGAATAAACACAGAGTGGACTCAGACTTGTCCTTGATCCAGGGGCTGGACAGCCAGTAGGCCATGGGCCAGCCACGAGACAGCCACAGGATCAGGCCACAGGGCATAGACAGCTTGGAGGAGCACCGAGGGAGCCATCCGTTCCACTTGGTGGGGCATGGGAGAAGTCGTACACCACATACTGGGAATGGAAGAAAGGGCCCGGAGTTCTCAGGGTGTGGTGGCTCTCATGGAGAAGAGGTGGAGTGGGGAGGGCAGCGTCTCTTGCAGAGGGGTGCAGTAGGTGCACATGTAGAGGCACAGGGGTGTGAGAAGTCAGGCGAGTCCTGGGAAGTGGGTATGGCTGAGCAAAGGAGGAGGAGAGTGGGGGGAGGTAGTCTGAGGCATAACGGAGAGTGAAGACGGGCACGCAGTGGCTAGTAGTTTGGGTCGCTTTTGCTGCTCTTTTGTCTATGCTCTGTTCGCCAGCCTGGGGGAAGCTGGCACTTCCTCAGCCCAGGGCTTCCCTTCTGGGAGGAAAGTTAACTTAGAGGAAGATGAAGAAATGCCTGAGCCGAGTGTGAAAGTGAGAGACTGGGGTGCCTGAAACTTGAGCAAGTCGGGAGCAGGCCAAGGAAGGAGCAGGTGAGTCTCTGAACTCAATACAAACTTGCATGTCTCACCTCGTACTCAGTCTTAGGGGGACAGGCGTCTCTGAGCCAGGTTCTCAGGCTGGGTGAGGAGACACACAAAGAACTGGACAAAAACAATAGAGTGGGCCAAATCTGTCGCAAGGGATTGTGGGAGCATCACGAGCATCTGTCCCAGTCTCCAGGTTTGCAGAAGGCTTGCTGGAGGAGGTGACATGGAAACTGGGCCTTACCAGAGGCACAGGAGTTTGCTACCAGAATACAGGGGGCTCTAATGATTCCCTTTTATTAAGACCGACCGCATGTAACTGCTGGGCCCCGGCCTGTCCATCCTGCCACTGAGCTCTGTGGGAGCAGAGACTCATCTGTCCAGTTCGCTGATTGGAACTCTTCTACTAAAACAGGGCCGGGCATGAGTGGGTGGTCCATAATGCCCCCAGGACAGGAACGCATGCAGATGCTCAGCCGAGGAGACAGATACAGGATCCAGCACAAGCAGGAGGCGGGAGCAGGGGGAGGGCCCGGCGGGGTCCGGGGCAGGACCCATCTGAGTAGTCTGGATTTTCTCCTTGGAAACAGGAGGGATGGGGTCAAATCTGCATTCATTTCTTTGACAAATATTGACCGCCAAGTGTTGCGTTAGGCCCTCGAGAGACCTTGGAACATGACCATCTCCTTGGCTGTGTGGAGCTTACCTTGTGGTGCAATTCCAGAGGGCAGCCTTGAAAGCCATGGAGAAATCTTTCACTAGCGGGCATGTGCTGGGTGGCCAAGAGAAAGGTGGCTCAGGAGCACGGCAGTGAGACGGGAAGAAGGGGGCAGCTCGGGGGCGGGCAGGTAGGCAGGCGTCACATAGGACCGCACTGGGCTGCGAGGCGCAGCAAACCTGACTCACAGTGGCCTGACATGTAGGAGCCTATTTATAGCTCAGCAGAGGAAGTTGAAGAGGTGAATGGGAGCTGCCTGGGGCTGGTCGGCGACTCCGCGGTGATGTCAAGAACCCGGGCTCCCCGTGGCCCCTCCTCAGCACCCTCTCTGATGCTTGCAGGCTGTTGCTTTGCTGCGGGGACCCTATCCATGTCTTTTGTGTTTATTTTAAGGTGCGTCATTGAGATGCCTTCCTGACACGTACCTTTCTCCAAGCAGAACTTAGGAAAGTCTGATACTCCCAAAAGTGACGTGTGTGTGTGTGTGTGTGTGTGTGTGTGTGTGTGTGTGACTGCGAGTTTTCTAGGGGCGGGAACCAGGGAATAAAGCCAATTCGGGATGAAGTGCGGTGTGGGCGGCACCTAGTGCGTGCCTATGCGCATGGGCGTGCTCATGGGCTTGAGTCCCAGGCTGAGCCCAGCAGACAGAGGTAGTCAAAGCTAGAAACAGCCGTCTGTGTGCCCTCATCGCCCACCAAGAAGCTGAGAAACCTTTGAGGGAAGGCATCAGGCCTCCTACAGTTCATAAAAGGAGGGCTGCGGGCCAAACAACTGGAGCTGACGCTGGATTTGCCAAAGGATCTCTCCGGGGCAGGGGGAGGATACGGGCTTGTGGAGGAAAGTGTGGAAGCCGGGAAGCTAGGAAAAGACCAGCAAAGTGGTCCTGAGAGAGATGGAGAGGCATGGGCCAGGGCAGGGGCGGGGAAGGAGACGGGGTGGCCTTGAGCAGGACAGACGGAGAACACAGAAGTGGCGACAGTTCAGAAAAAACTTATCTTGTCATTACATTTCCCACGAACTTTTTGAAGCACCGTCCTATTTCGCTATAGCAACAGAAGATAGTTCCAAGAGCCAATGATCGTAAAAAGATGGCCAATATTTGGGAGTTGGGGGAAGGCAGACTCAGCGACCCTGCCTTGGGCCCTGGCCACGGGATGCTTGAATATATCCCTGGGAGAGCCTGCCTGTCGGGAGGTGGTGTTGTTTGCTCCTCAAAGTCCAGGGCTGTGGCCATTCCCCAGCAAGGAACAGAAGTTGATTAGCTCCAAAAAAGATTTCTCTGCAATAGGTTATGGATGCATTAGTTTTCTTGAACCTAGCTGGTTAAACTGGTTTCCATGAATCAGATAATCTGCCCCTCTGGGCCAGCCACTGTTCTAAGTACGGAGGAACAAAACAGTCAAAGCCCCGCCTCTCCGAATTCAGATTCCTTGTAGGAGGAGACACTCCAGATCCAAAACAAACAAGTCGTCTATATATAGCATACTGGTTGTTTCCTTTTGTTTTTCTATGTCAACCAGGGCTCTGTGAACATTCTAGACTATATGTTCTGTGCACACAGCCTTCCCACCATAATTCACATGTAAGTCATGTGCTTTTTTCTCCACTAACCGGAAAGTCAAAAGGAGGTTTGGTGCAGACGTGTGCCAGTCCATTAGCAATAAGCAAAGTTTCTGGCATCTGTTGCCCCCATGTTTCTCAGTCCAGCATTTTGGGGGTGGAGGGGATGAAGATAGAAGCCTTGGAAGGTCAGAGCTGAGATTCCAAAGATGGGTCACCCGGTGAACAGGCCCAGGTGTCCCAGGGCACGGGCTGAGGTGGTAAAGCCTGCCCGGCACCTGTCTGCGAGACCTGTTCTACTCGAGTAAGTACGCGTGTGTCTCAGAGGAAGTGCACAGCGAGGGGACAAAGCACTTCTGCCTTTGTTGTCTCACTCTAGGTTCCCCGTGGGGCTGCCATATTTAGCAAATAAAGCTCCAGGACAGCCAGCTAAGTATGAGCATAGTATTTGGGACAAGCAGTAGTAGAAAACCATCTTTTATTGGGAATTCGAATTTACCTGGGCCGTTCTGGGTTTCGATCAGAAGTAGGCAATATTAGTGTCCCCGTCGGATGGCTGAGGGTCTAAGAAAAATGGCTGTAGGGAAGGAGTGACAGACTGGGCTCTTCCTCTATCCTGGAGAGACAAGTGAGCGCCAGGATCTCATTGTCAAGAAATCAACAATGCGGTGGGGTGATGCATGCAGGGGTGAGGCTCGCAGGGAGAGGCGGGCCGAGGCCATGGAGGCACCCATTCCACAAGGCGGGGACTCCAAGGTCTCTGCAGCCAGGGGCGGGGGCAGGAGGCTGTGACTTGTTTCCAGTTAGTTTAATGTACCAGGGCCGCGGCACCTCAGCCAACAAGACTGGAAATGCCGGAAGCCATCTGGAGCCCCATGCTGAGTCACAGAGCCCAGAGAAAAACAAGAACTTCGTGACGCCGGGGCAGGGGCTGGGGGTGGGGAGAAATCTCCCTGGAGATCACCGTGGGCACCGGAATAGAAGCTGCTCCCTTTGAAGCGTCTGCCTTAGCAGATCCTCGTTTCAGTCCAGCTGAATGCACGTGGAAATGCCAGCGGCGCAGCTGGTGAGGGGCGGCCCCCGTCCTGCTGCATCGGCAGCTTCTGCTTCAGCCCTGGCTCATCCTCTGTCTGCTTCCTCTTGGTCTGACCCGGGCAGATTCTTTCAACTCTGACCCCATGCCCCCTGCAGCAGCGATCATCCCAGTCTCAGTGAGACACTACACGCGTTGAGATGAAATCACATTGTCAAAAAGCATCTTGCTGGGCCAGCACCGTGGCTCACTAGGCTAATCCTCTGCCTTGCGGCGCCGGCACACCGGGTTCTAGGCCTGGTCAGGGCGCCGGGTTCTGTCCCGGTTGCTCCTCTTCCAGGCCAGCTCTCTGCTGTGGCCCGGGAGTGCAGTGGTGCGCCGGCCGCAGCGCGCCAGCCTCGGCGGCCATTGGAGGGTGAACTAATGGCAAAGGAAGACCTTTCTCTCTGTCTCTCTCTCTCACTGTCCACTCTGCCTGTAAAAAAGAGAAAAAAAAAAGCATCTCGCATGGCTCGGGCACACAGTAGGTGCTCAGCACAGAGAGAAAATGTCTTCCTGGCAGCTTGGTGTGGGTGGCATTGGCTGACATGCACACTCCGGCCTGAGCCTCCCCACGGTTTCAGCTAAAGAGAGAGACTTCTCTCTCCTTCTCCTGCCCTAGATACGGCAGTGACTGGTCATGGTCCCCAGGTTCTGGTGTAGGCTAAATGCACACATGGTGGAGATCCGTGCTCCATTCCACATTCCTTTAACAATGCACCAGCTCTTGGGCAACCCTCGAGGCAGTACAGAAATGAAGATAAATACTACAACTTCTCTGGTGTTTTTAACAGTTGTTCAGAGGAACCGGCGCTGTGGCACAGTGGGTGAACCTGCCACCTGTGGCGCTGGCATCCCATATGAGCACTGGTTTGTGTCCTGTTTGTTCCACTTGCGATCCGGCTCCTCACAAATGGCCTGGGAAAATCAGTGCAAGATGGCCCAAGTCTTTGGGTCCCTGCCACCCACATGGGAGGCCTGGAAGAAGCTCCTGGCTCCTGGCTTCAGCCTGGCCCAGCCCTGGCCACTGCAGCCATCTGGGGAGTGAACCAGCAGATGGAAGATCTCTCTCTCTCTTTGTCTCTTCCTCTCTTTCTGTAACTCTGACTTTCAAATAAATTAAAAAATCTCAAAAAATTTTAAAAAGCTGTTCTGGGCCAGTACTTTATTAGTCTTGAATTTCAGGTCAGTTCTACTTGAATCCCCGTTTTAGAGATGGAGAAATGGAGGCTCAGAAGGAGTGGCTATGTTATCGCAAATGCACAGAGCTCATAAGGGACAGATCCAGCTTCAGTACCAGCCATGTTTCCCCAAAGGTCCTGATTAACACACCATGGAGGGGCTCCCACAGGGAGAAAAACACTCAATTGGAATTTGAAACTCAGTCATGCACAGAGATTCATAAACAGCACAAGGTAGCAAGATGATTCAAGCCCGGATTAGCAGCGCCCTGGCAATTCTGGCCTGGGAGGGGGTTCTCGAGGGCCGTACTGTGGAGGGGGACTCCTGGAGCCGGGAAGAACCCCAGACTTGGGAAAATGAAGTGGACCCAGGTGTAGAGCAAAGGTTGGTTGAGCAAAGGTGTGGAGGCCATGGCCAAGTATGGGCCAGGATCAAGGAAAGGCCAGACTGCTGAACCCAAGGTGAGTTTCAGAGGGCAAAACAAGGGAAATCAAGTTGGCCAAGTCTTGCTGAAGCTGACTGTTATATTTTCCAGACGATAAACTCCCTGGCCTGGCTGCAATGGCTTCCAGCGTTGGTACGTCACTGCACAGAGGATTCTTACACATTCCATGTTGGGTCTGATAGTGGTAATTAAAGCTGTCCTTATTATTGGAAAGGAAGGAGGTTCCTGCACAGTAGTGGGCATGATCAGTCTCGCCCCTTGGCCTCCACCTGAGCTCACCTGGGTAAGAGGAGATAATGACATCTCCATGGTTTCCGGAAGATTCCACCAACAAGGCCACAAGTCAAGGTTCATTAAATCAAATCCAGAGATGGTGCAACCTTTTGGAAGGTCAGCTTGGCAATTATCTATCAAGAGGATTAAAACTGTGCAACACATCAGTCCCACAATTTTATTGCTGGAATTAATTCGAAAGAAATAGTCATAAAAGCATAGCAAAACCATGTATATTGACAAAAATTGGTACAGAGCCTTGGTTAAAAATTGTTATAAATTATGCAATGAAATACTATGGAATATTACAGAATACTACAGAATACTATGGAATACTACACTGCTATTAAAAGTCAATGTGGGGGGCTAACACTGTGGCACAGAGGGTTAACACCCTGGTCTGACACGCCGGCATCCCATATGGGTGCTGGTTTGAGACCCGGCTGCTCCACTTCCAATCCAGCTCTCTGCTGTGTCCTGGGAAAGCAGTAGAGGATGGCTCAAGTCCTTGGGCCCCTGCACCTACATGGGGGACCCATAAGAAGCTCCTGGCTCCTGGCTTCAGATCAGCACAGCTCCGGCCGTTGGGGAGTGAACCATCAAATGGAAGACCTCTCTCTCTCTTTCTCTCTCTCCCTCTCCTCTGTGTAACTCAGACTTTCAAATAAATAAATAAGTCTTAAAAAAAAAAGTCAATGTGGTCAAGTCATAGTAAGAGGAAAATCAAGTCAAATTTAAAAATAGCAAATATAGTATGATCCTAATTTGAAAAGTACATTAATCCAATTAATTCTCTTATTAAATATTTAATAAATCTGTGCTATGTGCTACTGGGGACCTGGAGGGGAACAGGTTCAGTGTGTTATTTGGAGGAAGACA